TGGCTTATATTTCTTTAAATATTTCCCATTAACCTTTAGGATACGTTTATCATCCATCAGCTCTTCGATTTCATATGCATTGTTTGAGAATACCTTTATTATTCGAAAAGGCCCTTCCCAATGAGGTGACCATTTACCTAACGTTTTATTTTTCTTGTCCATGGGCAATATGACTTTCCAGACTAAGTCATTAATAGTGAATGCTTTTCCTTTCACCCTTTTGTTATATGCCCTGGCCACTCTTTCCTTTTGTCTCATCTGGATTTCCAATGCATGCAATCTAACTTCGTCCAATTCTACTAACTCATTCATCATCATCTCCCAATATAATGCAGCTGGAATTTCGTTTTGTCTTTGAATTCGAACTGATTGTAGATGAATTTCTACTGGCAGAACTGCATCATGACCAAATGTGAGTTGGAAAGGCGTGGTGTTAGTAGCTTCTTTAGGAGATGTTCTACATGCCCATAGTATTTGGTCCAAAGTTTTGTGCCAGTTCCTTGGCTTTTTACCAATATGTTTCTTGATTAACCCTATTATCACTTTATTAGCTGCTTCGACCTGGCCATTTGCTTGAGCATAATATGGCGTTGATGTTAGTAATCTAAACCCCATTTCTTGAGCAAATTCTTGCATCTTTCTACCGGTGAACACAGAACCTTGGTCTGTGGTTATGCTCTCTGGCAATCCGAACCTATAGATAATTTGTTTCTGTATGAACTCAATAATAGCTTCTTGATTAACAACTATTAATGGTATTGCTTCGATCCACTTGGTAAAATAATCTATTCCTACCAAGATATATTTCTGTCCTTTAGATGAAGCAGGATTTATTTCTCCTATTAAATCCAATGCCCATCCTCTAAATGGCCATGGTTTAATGATTGAATGCAACTCACTTGCGGGGGCATGTTGAATCCCTGCATGTTTCTGACATTCTTCACAACCTTTAGCAAAGTCTATACAATCTTTGAGCATGCTGGGCCAATACCTGCCATATCAAAATAACAGCCATTTCATTTTATGACCCGCTTGATGTGCCCCACATGCCCCATAGTGGACTTCTGACAATGCTAAGTATGCCTCACTTTCTCCTAGGCATTTCATTAATACGCCTTCTTGGGTCTTTTTGAACAATTTGTTTCCCATGAGGACATATGACAATGCTCTATATTTTATCTTCCTATCAACATTCAGAGTTGGGTTTGTTAAATAACTCACAAGTGGACTTTGCCAATCTGCGTCTGATAAAGTGTTTATGGCTAATATTTCGAATCCCTGTTTCTCAGCATAACCCAATTTCATACTCTATAGATCTGATGGTATGAATCTAGTAGCCATAACTCTACCTCTTAATTCAACTAAATCCTCAAAGTTTCTGGCAGAAACTTTATAACCTGAAGCCAACTGTGCTAAGTCATTTGCTTCTTGGTTTTCTATTCTTGGTATATGTTGAATATCCATGTATTCAAATTTTCTAAGTAGCCTGTTAACTATGACAAAGTATATCATCAGGTTTTCCTTTATGCATTTATACTCCTTTGTTATTTGCTTGACCACTAATTCTGAGTCTCCTTTAATTTCGACTCTAGTTGCCCCCAATTCCAACAAAGCTTCAAGTCCAACAATAAGCGCTTCATACTCAGCTTCATTGTTCGAGCAACGAGGACCATCTAATTTATACTTGAATTTTGTTGGAATTCCTTCAGGAGAAATTATAAGGACTCCAACACCACTTCCATTCCTGTGGATCGAACCATCAAAGTATAATTTCCATGGTTGCATTTCAACATAACTCAGGACAGTCTGTTCAACCAATGAATGGTCCACAATGAAATCAGAAATCACTTGGCCTTTCACAGCTTTTAAAGGCATGAAAGTCAAAGAATATTCTGTTAAGGCTAAAGCCCATTTACCAACTCTGCTATGCATTATTGGTTTTGAAAGCATGTGTTTAATGACATCAAAATGAGATGAAACATAAACATCAACAGGCTTTATATAATACTTAAGTTTCATACAAGAGAAGTACAAACAGAGACATAGCTTTTCTAAATTGATATATCTGGTCTCTGCATCAGTCAATACTCTACTTAAATAGTATATGGCTCTTTCGATGCCATTGCTATCTTCTTGTGCTAACATACTACCTATACTAACTTCAGAGGCAGATATGTACAATCTCATGGGCTTTCCCCATGAAGGTGGAGACAAGATGGGAGGCTGAGAGAGGTATCTTTTTATCTTGTCAAATGCCTCCTGATGGGCTTCGTTCCACTCGAAGGCTTAGCCTTGCTTTAAACGAAGCAACGGAGAGAAAGCTTGGGTTCTTCCACTCAGATTCGAAATGAACCTTCTGAGAAAGTTAATCTTCCCTAGCAAAGATTGCAGCTCCCTTTTTGACGTAGGTGCTTTCGTCTCCATTATGGCTTTGGTTTTGTTTTGGTTGATCTCAATTCCTTTCTTGTGAACCACAAAGCCAAGGAAATCTCCAGCATGCACAAAAAATGCACATTTAAGGGGATTCATCTTTAAGCCATGTTTTCTCATTCGTTCGAATGATTGACTCAAATGATGCAAATGGGTTTCTGCAGATATAGATTTGATGACTATATCATCAATATACACCTGCATAAAGGTTTCAATGAAATCATGGAAAATCGAATTCATCGCCCTTTGATAAGTTGCCCCAGCGTTTTTTAAACCAAAAGGCATCACCACCCATTCGTAGGTGCCTAAGGCTCCTGGGCAACGAAATGCTGTCTTGGCAACATCTTCTTCAGCAATAAAAATCTGATTATACCCAGAGTATCCATCTAACATACTTAAATATTCGAATCCTGCAGCAGAGTCTACTAACATTTCTACCACAGGCATGGAGTACTCATCCTTAGGGGTTGCAGTGTTTAAGTCCCTAAAGTCTATGCAGATTCTCAAAGAACCATTTTTCTTAATAACAGGCACTATATTTGCTAACCATTCGACATACCTTGTGGTTCTGATGAATCTGCAACGCAGCAACCTTTCTGTGATTGGTGGATTTAGAACTGACTGTTTAAAGCTGGATCGCGTATGTCGCGGTAAGCAAGAGTCGCCACCGTCTTTTATTTTCTCCAACATGGACAGGACAAAAGCACAACAAAATTCCTTATGAGATAGTTTCTCGGTTCGGGAGGTAGATTTATAGAAAGGGAAGGTGTTAGCACCCTTTCTATCCATGGTTATCCATGGGCTCTTAGATACTTGCTCTTATGTTTTCAAAATGTTTGCTTTTCAAAATGTGAGTGGGTTTGAAAAAGTTTCTTTGAAAGATTTCTGAATAACTCTTGTATCAGTCCTCAAGAGTGTTTGAAAAATTGTTTTGAAAGCTTTTTGAAAGTGTCGGTGTGAAAAGAGTTTTGATTTGTTTTTTAGAGAGAAAGTATCCATGAGTCATCTACCTACCCTAAGGAATTAGGCTGTGTAAATGTCCTTAAGGTAGTGCCATCCCACCATTGAGAGGTAGGTAGCACCACCGTTGGAGGTGTTCGGGTCAATTCGAGTGTAGGGACAGTGTGGTCACCGAAGCAACAGTTAGGACACCTTAAAAGCTACCCTTATGTCCTTGATCCTTTTTTAATCCGAGGCAACCGTTTCGAGGCAACTATTCCAAGGCAACTGATTTTAGGCAACTATTTCGAGGCAATTGGATCATGGACATAAGGACTTACTAAAACGTCCTATACTGGACGACCACGTTTCGAAGGCAACAGGTGAGGCGTACCCTAAGAGTGGTGTGTGTATTTGTGTGTTGTTTTCAGTTAATATTTATCTTTGATCATGGCATTGTGAGCTACGCTTGTTTTTTATTAGCATACATTCTTTCATACAAAGTTTAGAATTTAAGAGTGTGGAAATTTAAATGCGGAAAGATAAAAGCTACGCTATTACAAGGCGCGGGTCTATACATCGCCAAATTACAAAGACCCGTTTTGATAAAATGCGGAAAGTAAAATGACTTTAAGTGAAAAAAGGTGTTCGAATGATAAAAGCTTGAAGATAAAGGCATGAAATGTGCAAAAGTTTCTGAAATGTAAAGTATTTGAAATGGAAAGAAAACATTTAAATGTAAGGCATCAGTAAAAAGACTTCGAATGAAAATGTTTTAATGCAAAGGCTTTTGAATGGTATTGACATGAAGATAGAGGAAAATACTGGAAATGATAAAGAGTTTGATTAAATCATAAATACTTGGTGTTATCATACGTACATTGCTCGTGCATTCGTTTCCCTAGCCATGTGGTATTTTGAATGTTTACTGAGTTTTTTGTACAATAGATATGACACACGAAATCATAATGCTAAGACTTCTATTTATACTACTTCGACCATAACGGTCTTGCTATAAGATTCTGCCACGTTCAGAACATGCAGAGCAAATGCCTTTCTCTAGCTTCCACGCGTCTTCAAATGCTCCAGCGCATATATTTTAAATTTCGAATCATCCCGCTTGCATTTGAATTTCAAATGTTTTGGCACTTCTTCGCTTCGAACGCATTTCTTGGACACAGCCTTGTTATCATTTCGAGACTTCTTTGAATATGTCCTCATAACTGTCACTCGAAGCTCCAAGCTTTGATATGCCTATTCGAAGCACTGCTTCTACCATTTCGAAACATGACATCTTGCTTTATTCCAATCGAAACGTCCAATTTGCTTCGCTTCTAATAATATCATCAAAATCTTCAGCCAACACCTGGCAGTTAACTGATTTTACGGACTCGTATATCCAGGCGTGAAATCAGGAACCAATGGTCATGCGTTATGGACATTATATAAACCCTCACACCTGTGAGGGGAGGGTATCAAATATTCACTATTTACCACCTAATAATTTGTTTGTATCTCCTTGTTCCCACTCTTACTTGATCGTCGGAGTGCCTTGCAGGTACAAACCCCTTTTTCTCCTCGATATCACAACCCGATTACAGATCATCTTCTGACCACTTCACAGGTTCTGATCAACCGGTAAGATCACTAAGCTTACAATTGGTATTTGTTTTCCTTCTCTGACTAACTTTTCCATGGAAAAACTTAGTGTTTTGATCACCGTGATTAAGCCACATAACTCTGCTCCTTTGCCTCCAAGCTATTTCCTCCATCTGTAATAAATTGTCCTTCTGTCTTTCCAGAGCTTTATACGCCTCAATTTTAGACCGATCTGTATCCCATTTGATATCTTCCTTCAGCAAATTCTCAATTCTGCAAATCTCTTTTCTCACATTATTGCTACGATAATCCTTGAATGTGTCATCCAACTCCTTCATGGCCTCTAACTTTTGAAACCCAATTTTAGTACTGTTATTCCAAAATTGAGCCACCAAATTTTCACAAGCTGGATCTTTGCACCACAATTCTTCAAATCTAAAGATGTATGGCCTTTTCCTATTTTTCGAGTCATTATCAGACTCCAACTGAATTCCGGTTGTTGCATGATCACAACCATATCTAGCCAAATGAGAAACCCTAATTGGTGAGAATCTATTGAAAAAACTTTCCTTAGCCAAACTCTTGTCCAACCAGCCCTGAATATTGTCCTCATTCCTTCTACCATTTGTCCAGGTGAAAGGATACCCTTCGAAACCATGGTCTTGGAGACCATAAACATCCATAATGTTTCTTCTAACATAAAGTTATCCAGGTGTTCTGCTAAGACCTCCCTGTTTCTCAGATTCAGTCAGCACATCAATTAAATCTCTAAAGCACACAAACTTGCCCAATTTTCTACTTGTTTTTCTCTTCAGGGAAGCGATAAATACCACAAAAAGACCAATTAAGTAGATCATAATAATCAGTGGTGGAGCCTTCGATATGATTAATAGAGTAGGAAGAAATACTAAGTTGAAAGTTGTCTTTCCATAAGAGGATCAAACCCCCTGCTCTTTGTTTTCCCACTCTAGTGCAAAACCATGTCTAGCCAAGATGTTGTTAATAACCTTGTAAATGAAGAATTTATTTTCAAAGCTAAAGATTTATTTTAAAAATTATTTAAAAAATGGAGAATATGTACTAACTATAGCGATTTTAACAAGATGTGTTCCAAAGACATTTTCACCCTTCCAATATATATAAACTTTTATAATTTTACTTCTTACATTAAGTGTTATGTCGTGTTCACCATATTCCACTCTGCATTGTGTCAGCCGCATAAAAATCCTGATTTATTTGACTAAAATTCTTGTATTGACTTAGTTTTTATTGATTTTCGGTTACATCCCTCAGCAAGATCAATTTTTGTTTGGAAGCTCAAGCATGATAAAGTTCTGATGGACGACATGGTTAATAGTAGAGGTATCAAATTGGTCTCCAGATGCAGTATGTGTTAGTGCAAGTTTGAATCTACCTCTCACTTATTTTTTTAGTGCAGTTTTGAAAAAAGTTGTGGCTTTAGCTTGTTCATTTACTTAATTTAAACTGTTGTCTGAATTCTCTGATATTTTGGTGGCAACACTGTAATTCTAGAGATTCTAAGAAATATTGGATTCATGAGAAACAACTCGAAACATAATAACATTCAGTCTTAATTGTGTTTGGCCATCAATAACATATTATCTCAGGTGAAACTTTCCTCTAATAATTTTTCTTCCACTTCCTCAAATTTCATACATGACTTTATCATTTTAAAAGATTTTGGTGCTTACATCCACCCCCGAAAGCTCCCTCTATTAAAGAGGTAATTTAGAGCCCTCCTTGCCTTCGTTGGACCGAGTGCAACTGTGAGGATACCTTATACTACTTCGAGCTGCGGTGGTATTTTCCGTAATATCACAAAGGTGACTTTCTCTTGATTTTTGTGGAGTGTATCAATTTTAACTCTCCTCTCATGCTGAATTTAATTCAATCCTAAGGGCTAACGAAGTTGCAAACAACAATGATTAGAACAAGCTCTGGATTAAATCAAATTTAATCTTGGTTGTCAAAGATTTTTCCAACCATCCTTTAAGAGTAGGGATGTCAATGGGGCGGGGCGGGACCGGGGGGACACTTCCCCATCTTTTTCCCCGCCATCAAATTCATTCCCCGTCCCCGTCCCCGATCTCCGTCACGGGGAAATTTCTATCCCCATCCCCGTTTCCCGCGGATCCCCGTTCCCCGCGGGGATCCCCATAGATCCTACATTTATTCATTAATATTTTATTTTTTTAAAATGTTTATATTTTCTATAAAAATAAAAAGCACAAAGAATTCACATATTTATTATGTTATTAAAAAATACTAGTATTTGATATTTATTATTTTTTATTAAAAATACTAATGGAACACAAAATAATAATATTTTTTTTATAAATTTCTATAAAATGCTATAAAATTCAACAAAATGAACTATAATACTTTTTAAAGTAACAATATGCCTAAACAACTAAAAAAATCCATAACATAGAAAGGGATAATTATGCTTAAAAAACTATACTTCATCAAAACTAATAAGGGATAATTATAAAATTTAGCATCATGAGTATGCTTGAAAAGCTAAAAAATACTTCATAATAAGTCAACTAAAAGCAAAAGTCAACATATCTCTATTTGCTCAATTGATAACACACGTAAAGTAGAAATATCAAAATACTTAAAACAAAGTTACATATAAATAAACTAAAATATTAAGCAAAATATCCAAACAAGTAATGATCAATCATGTCTCTCTTTCCAACTTTTTCTTGCAAGGTCTTCTTCCTCATTCCACAATTAGATATGACTTTCTTTTTCCTACGAAAAGTAAACAATCAATAATTATATTTACTTAAAAAAATACTTTAAAAACTAAAAGGTAATCAACACTAATATGTAAATTACCTTATTATCATCATCATCATCATCATCCATATCTTCATTCACACATTCGAATTGAGTCAACGTTTTTGAATAACCTAAGAAACAAATAGCTAAATTAAAATTTAAAAATCCTTTTCAATTAATCTTGTAAAAGATAAAAATATATTACCTTTTATACATTTTCGGATCCAATCTTGAGTGCACATCAAAGCCTCTAAAGTGTCTTCCTTCAACCTACTACGTTGTTGACTTAAAACACGACCACTAATACTAAAGGCGGACTCTGAAGCAACGGTAGAGATAGGAATTGCTAAAAAGTCTCTTGCAATCTTTTGCAAAGTTGGAAATTTCAAACCATTTTGTTTCCACCATCCTAAGATGTCAAAATTTTCCTTTTTTTGTTTATCAAGCAAGACACCATCTTCCAAGATTGTAATATTAAAATATACTTTAATAAAAAATATTTTTAATAAAAAATAGGAAAAGTATATTTTAATATTTTTTAAGGAAAAACTGACGACATTATTTTAATTACAAATGCATAGTATAGATAAAAAATGAACACAAAAATATTTAAAAGGAGATAAAAATGAGTAATTTTTTGATTATTTTATATTTTTTTAATATGCAAATGATTTGATAACTCTAAAATTTCTAAACAATTTAATTTAAATTTAATCAAAATAATCAACTTTTCCTATAAGCAATTACATGAACAGGTTTATGAGAATCAAAGAGAAACAATCTACTTTTTTCTATAAACAATAATATAAACAGATTTATGAGAATCAAAGAGAAATAATCTATTTTTTCCTATAAATAATTACATGAACAAATTTAAAGATGAATAATGGAAGCACACCAAATAGAGAAGATGGAATTGGAAGAGGAAGATGAATGGAGAAGAAAAAAAGGAGTCTAACGTGTGAGACTCTAAATGTCTGGCAGAAGAAAATGAAACGCTTCAACTTTTTTAGGGTCTAATATTTACATTTCTCTCTTAATAAATACATGAATATTTATTTATTTATTTTTATAAATAAACATAAAGGAAATAACTAAAAAACCTAATCTAAAATATATATATTAAATTAACTATATTAAAATAATAGGCGGGGTCCCCGCGGGGCGGGGGGTGTATTCCCCGTTCCCGAAATGCTCTCGGGGGAATTTTTCTCCCCATCTCCGCCCCCACGGGGGAAAATTCCCCATCTTTGGGGCCCCGAACGGGGCGTTCCCCGTGGGGATCGCCATTAACAGGTCCAAACTGACATCCCTATTTAAGAGCCTGTTAGACTAACCGTTAGACTAAGTGTACAGATCCGTCTAAGTTTTGTGCAAACCTTTTAGGTCTCACTTTTTTTTTAAATATAGGTCTCACTTTTAATCCAACTAGATTTTTTAATTTCATCCCTTCTAGAACTAGAAAATATTTTGTAAATATTTTCTTACCTTTCATTAGGTTATCTTCTTTCTTTTGATGGAGTTTTATCTCCCCTTCTCTTTTGTTATCTTCTTTCTTTTGATGGGGTTTTTTAACTCCCCTTCTCTTTCGTAGTATTTTTTTATGTTAAAACACCGATGAAATTTCAATGAAAAGTTGATCTATAGGCTATATACTTGTAAACTATGAACGTAAAACAAATTTATTCTTAGTTTTAGACAAATCACAGGTAATGTTTTTAGTCCCACTCTTTGAAAAAATGATACCACTACTATTATTTTTATAAGAAAAGGTTATAGTTTCACCCAAAAGCATAAAATAAAACAATGTCACATTAATATGATCAAACAAAACTATATTACCATTACAAAGCATATATAAGTGATTGAAAACAAAGAAACCTCATTCACTAAACCAAACTAATAGCATCAAGCTATTTTGGGCATCAATTTAACAAGTAAAAATTGATGCTATGATAACTAAGTCACCAAATCCAGCTACAGCCTGCAGATCCACAAAAAGTTTCAAAAAAAACTTTGTAGTTTGGCAGTGACATCACTTTACCTGAAAAAGAAAAACATGAAACAAGGAATATGAATTCCAAACTATTTGGTTACTGTTTTGAATCTACAATTACGCACACGTTACAAAATTTCTATGCTAAAAATAAGAGAGAAACACACCACAACAGAAAACTACCTTCACAGACAGAACAAGGACAACAGAAACATCCTATAAGGTTACATAAGAAACATCAAAAGAACATCGAATAACTGAGACAATTAACAACGAGTGAATTAGGAAAATACCTTGATCAATGGATTATGTAAGACGAGACAAAAAAGAGGACTCCTCGTGTGTGTCTCGTTTTACATAACCCATTGATCCAGATTCAGATTCAATCACTCGTTTCAACCACTCACCTTCATCAATTACCTACTTACGCGTCGAATTTGAATCATTCTTCTTCAGGTAGATCGAGATCTGGTGTTGTTGGTGATTGATGTGGCTCAGATTCAGAGATCTGAATCGGTTTTTTCGATAGGTTTGGTTTAGGTTTTCTAGCGCCGATAACTAAACTGAGAACGTGGGTGCAATTTATAGCGATCGTGTATTGTTTTCATCACTATTTTCAACCGCTTGATTAATCCAACAGTTTACATTTCCGCTGCCCACGTCACACTGCTAAATTATTTTCATTAAATTCTTCAAAATAATATACTCATGGTTCTAAATTGATTATAATTTTATTCTATTATTTTACATTATTTATGGAAATAGTCTTTTATTTTAAATTTAAATTGTTTAGACCTCTTCTCATATTTTGCCCTTAAACTAATGATGGTAATGGGAGGTGGAATTAATTTTTAAACATGGATTATGATTATTAATTAACTAAATTAAACTTCTAGTGGAAAAAATGAAAATGAGATCTAAATTGTTTGAATTTAAAATAAAAAGATTAATTTTATAGAATAAATAAATTTATAGATTAAGATTGTAATTCATTTTATATTTATTAAGAAATCAAAAACATTATAATTTATAGTATGATTTTTTGTAATTTTAATTAAGTTAAACCAAATAATTAAAAGTAATTTTTAGAAGGTACTAGTATATTCTTAAAATAAAATGATTAAATAGATAGAACTAATTTTTTTAATAGTTTAAAATAAAAAAGTAAAGTTTTTTTTTTATTTATAAATTTGGATGGAGTAAGTATTCATACATATACATGTTAAAAATATTTAAAAAAAATTATTGTTTTTATCAAACTAATTTTGTTAATTCTTTATAACTTTTCCAATAAAGCATAATACGGAACTGTATATATAATATAAATTTAAAAATAAAATTAATTTTCTTTATAATAATTATAATAACATTTATTTTAAAGAAATTTTAAGTTTTTTAAGTGACATTTATTTTAAAATAGAAATATATAACTTTTCTATACTTAAAAATGTAAAAATTTACTATACTATTAATCACTCACAACTATTTTATAACACTACAAGAAATATCATCTTCAGCCACGTGATTTTGCCACGTAATTTTCATGTGGCTAAAAAAAGCCAGTTGCGACGTAAAAATCACGTGGTAACATGTTTTATTAATAAAATAAAGAAGTCTGATGGTTGTCTGATTTTTTATAAAAAAAATATGTTGCGACTTGAGATTCACGTCGCTACTAAAAATACAATAAAAAATAATTTAATTGGTTTAACGTTCAAATGGTTGTTATTTTGAAATTTTGAAAAAGTAAGTTGCGACGTGTTATTCACGTCGCAACATTTAAGAGGGAAAAATCAAATCATTACAGACTGACGTGTTCAGACTTTGAAGGCATGTGAAGAAAGAGAATATGACTGTTGGGATGGTTGCGACGTGAAAATCACATGGCAACGTTGCAGCGTGATTTTCACGTCGCACTTACTGTTCTTCTTCAACCCTCTTCTCCTCATTCCATCCCTCCATAACTATTTTCTTCTTCATAAAATTTCTTCTTCTCCAATATAAAATCTCTTCAATCTCCATTAATTCTTGTTTTAAGGTAAATTCAATTCAATTTTGTCTCTATTTTGTTAACAAATTTTTATTTACTGTATTATGGGATTGTAATTTTTTTTAATTTTTCTTTGAATAGAAGAAGATTGATAGAAGTAGATTGCAAAAAGGTTGGACAAGAAGATTGAAGGAGTTAGAAGATAAGAGGTATATCTTGAAAAAAAAATTTGAATTTAGTATATTTTCTGAATTTAGTTAAATTTTAGGTTGAATTTGGGTTAAATTATAATATTGTAATTTTAATTGAATTTGGTTGAATCTGATTTTATTTAATTTATAAAAACAGAATAAAAAATATTTAATTTGTTAGGAATAATAATATTAATCATTTTTATTATTTAGTTTATTTTAAATTTAAAAATAAAAAAGATTATATCGTTATTACTTTATATTTTATATCTTTATAACCATTTAAAATTTAAGTTGATTATATTCTTAGGGGTATATAATAAAAATTTAGTAATAAGTAAATTAATGTTACAAAATAAATAATAATAAATATAGTAATTAGTGAAAAACACAAATAAATAAATAAATTGTGATGAATACAATAGTTATAATTATTAATTTATGTAGTAACTTAGTGAATAATAAAAATAATAACAATAATCATTTTAATCATTTGCAATTTAAAAATCAAAAAATTTTTATCCTTATAAGTTTTTATTTATTAATTTATAAAGAAAGTAAAAAAATATTTTTAGGAGTTTAAATTAATTTTTTTTGTCTTGACTGGAAAAAAAAATTTTGGATGAAGTATTTTAATAGAATGTTGTTAAGTCTAATAAGTTAGAATTAGAAAAGGTATAATAGTCACTTGATGTTTTTTGAAATTTGAAAAAGTTTAAAAATTTTATGGGTTAGATTGTATAATATTTTTTCTTAATTAAAAAAATAAATTTTATTTTTATTTTTAATTTTTTGCAGTGCATATTAATTTAAATATTAGTATTTTATGAAAGTAAATATTATTAAGTTTATGTATAATAAATGAGTTAGGAATAATAATATTAATAATTTATATATTTAATTTATTTGAAAGTTAAAAATAAAAAAATATTTTATCTTTATGACTTTATATTTTATTGATTTGTAAAAAGCTTTCAATTTATTATTATAAATTATTAATAATATTTGATTAAAATTTCAAAAATCAAGTAATTGTAATTAATTTTAATTAATAATTGATAATAAATTGAAATAAAAAAAATTATGAGTGCTAAAGCCAAATATATTTAGTGAATATGATTTTTTCTTTAATGAGCCATTTTAAATATCAATACATAATTGTAAATAAATTGAAATGAAGACAAATTTATGCGTAATTGAAAATAAAGTAAAATTAATACTAATATTTATTATTTATTAATAAAAAATCCATGGACAAATGTGTCATATTTGACAGTTATCATATTTTTCATTAATTATTATATATTTAATAAACTATATTAATATATAGTATATTTAATACATGGGCGGATCCATGTTTAGGCTAGGTGTGGCTATAGCCACACCAGATTTTTTTTTTCTAATACTAATATATATTTAATTAATTAATTAATTTTAATATTTAATATTATATAACTATTCAACTCACTTTTATCTCTTAATTTTCTCTCTCTTTTATTTCTTTCTCTCTCACAGAGTAAACCCTTTCTCTTCTTCTCAAACCCCATCAACTTCCATATTTGTCTCTTTCTCTCATTAATCCAATAACCCCACCATTTTGCATTGTTTATGGGTGATTGAAAATCAAAGGTAAACTAACTATTTCAAAATTTTCTTATTCTTTTGTTCTATTTGAGTTGAACTCTAAAACCCCAATTTGTTTTAAAAAAGTAAATTTTCAATTTCTCATAAATATTTTCTTTACAATAAATTGTTCTTATTATTTTCTTTATAGAGTGAATAGCTAATTTTAATGGTTTCATTGTTCTCTTTATAGGATGAAGAAATTTTTTCCTGTGCTTTCTAGAGATAAAGCTACTTCTTCGGTAAATCTAGAAGCATCGGAAACTCAACATCCAAGTGAGAGTATTAAAGTTGTCGATTATGAATTGTTGGAAACCGATCCAGGAATTAGGCCTCCAATTTCAAGCTATCATCCTGACATCCAAAATGAGGTAAGGAAAGCTTATTTAAAAATAGGTCGTCATAAACCTCCTTACAATTTTGTTTACCCTTGGTCTGTTCAAGGTAATCAAAGACGTAGATTTTGCAAAAATTGGTTTGATTTGTATGATTGGATTGATTATAGTGAATCTAAGGACCTGGCATTTTGCTTGCCATGTTTTTTGTTTAAGAATGTCTCTAAATACGGGGGAGATCACTTTGTGATAGAGGGGTTTGGTGATTGGAAGAATTCTCACAGATTGGCTAATCATGGAACTTCTTCCAATAGTCATATTGATTGTGTGCATATGAGTTACGCTCTCATGAACCCAAACCAAAGTATTAAGGCTGCATTTGTTAATCAAACTAAACAAATGAATTCTGAATATCGTGTTCGTGTAAACACATCTCTTATAGCTACTAAGTTTCTTTTGAGGTGTGGCATGCCATTTAGAGGGAGTGACGAGTCCTTTAACTCTTTATTTAAGGGGCCATTTCTTGAGTTGGTGGACACTCTAAAGGAAATTAACCCAGAGATAGCTAAGGTAATAAATTGTGCTCCAGGAAATAACTTTATGAATGCCCCTAAGATTCAAAAGGATCTTGTTGCTGCTTGTGCATGTGAAATAACTAAACAAATTGTATGTGATATTGCGGATGATGTGTTTTGTGTTTTGATTGATGAATCCGATGAC